AGGCCATGAGTGCACAGCACTATCCCATATGCATCCGTCTCCAACATGCATCCACATCGTCTCCGCACCAGCCTCAGTACAACCGCCACCCTTATCCACTTCGCCTCCATGCCGCATCCACGTTACCTCCGATACCACAAAAAAGGGTTTAGGGTTTAGGGTACCATGGCATGTGAGCTATAGTCTAAAATCCTTTGAAGGGATTATATAGGGGACTACCGCGACTACTATATTGTTTGTTGCGGGCATACTAGGCGTCTAGAGAATGACTCATGTGAGATTGCGGGAACGCAAATTCGTGAAGTGAAGGCGAAAGTGCCCATCGACACAAACCTCAACGCATCGTTTCCCGTCAACTCCTCTAGGTAGGCATACTTCCCTACCTTAAACCCTTTAAGCCCATTACAAAATGCCCTATTTCGATTTTCCATGCTCTCTTTCATGTGATTCTCTATTCCTGGTGTTACAAATAATCGTCATTAGGAGAGGCTAAGGTTTTCTGTAGCAACCCCACACTCTCATCCCCGCTTCCCCTGAAGCGACACTGGGACACAACTGCCTCAGCCTAGACCCTACTTGGAGGGTCAGGGGGACTTAGTAAGTAGGTGAATAAGGGGGATAACTAGGGTTTCTATATGGATTAAAAGGGTTCTTAACCTACTTACTAAGCCCCCCTGACCCTCCTAGTAGTAATTTCCCTAGACCCTAAACCCCCAAACCCTAAACCCTGAACCCTAAACCCTAGAACCCTAAACCCCAAACCCAAAACCTCTAAACCCTAAAACCCCTCACGCAACAGCTCATGCACCACATGAGTTCCAAATCTGCTGAGGATGCCACTCTTCGAAGTTCCTGACTCTGGGGATGCTCACAAGAGTTCAAGGTTACTAAAACGAGGCCCTTTGTTTTGGGTAGTCACTACAATTGAGGCCTTCTTTTGGAGTTACTAACATGAGGTCCCTTTGTTCTGGTAGTCACTAAAATAAGGCCTTCTTTTGGAGTCACAACATGAGGTCCCTTTGTTTTGGGAGTCAGTAAAATGAGGACTACAAGGTTTTGGGACATACTTGGAGCAACAGGGGGGTGGTAGCTGGCTTTACCATGTGGTATGTGGGGGTGATGCGTATACTTTGGATACCCCACCCAGGACCAGTTGGAGGGTATTTGTAATGTGAATACATATAGACTTTACTACCCCCACCCTAAACCCTAAACCCGGAACCCTAAACCCTAGACCCTAAACCCTAACCTTGTAGACTGTTGCTGGGTAGGGGCAGTACCAAAGTATACCTTCCAAGGTCCACCGACTCTGAACTCCAGCGCGCTCACGGGCAAAAAAACCCTTAACCCGAAACCCTAACCCTAAACCATAAACCCTACCTAGACCCCCCAAGTACCCTAAAATAGAATCTATGTAGCTTCTATTTGGGGATACTTAGGGTCTATTGAGGGTACTTGAGGGGGTCTAGGTAAGCCCTAAACCCTACCCCTAAACCCTAAACCCTAAGCCCTAAACCCTACCCTAAACCCTAAACCCTAACCCTAAACCCTAAACCCCAACCCTAAACCCTAACCCTACACCCCCCCCCCTAAACCAAGTAGGGTTCATGGAAGGTCCCGGGTGTGGTGCAGGGAGGCGGGTCCGGGGTTTTAGCCTTACAGAAGGAAGACAGACCCAATCGGAGCGCGGTTTAGGGTTTAGGGGTTTAGGGTTTAGGGTTTAGGGTTTAGGAGCGCAATACCCCTTAATTCAGGATTATACATACTGGGGTTGTAAAGGGAATAATGGAAAAAATGGAAAGTACAGTCATATATAGGGTTCTGTAGGGGACATACACCCTCAACCACGACAGATTCTAGTAAATACCATTTATGGTATCTTGCATGGTAAAGTGGTATTGGGCTCGCTCCGTTTTCCTTTCCATTTGACTCCCCCGGGGCCGCAATCCCTCGTGAATAACCCCCAAAAAATACTCCCCCCATAAACCCTAAACCCTAAACCCTAAAACCCTAAACCCTAAACAATTTCCTGTATAACCCCCTTCAAGGAGTTGAGACTAGGCCTCATAAGGTCATGATACGCTGTCCGTACTACGGCGTATGATGAATCCTCATTGGATGATATCAGAAAGCATGCTTCACACTCCTCGTTGGCTTTAAATAGTAGGAACTGAAAAAACATATGTATATACTGAATGGTGACCAGCACGAAAATCTCCACAAACTCACACCACTCTCAATGAGAGGTAAGCAGGCTCAGGAACAAAGTCTTGGCCCCCACGAAATCGCTCTGAAAGCCCAAGACGCTTCAAGATGTCCACGAGCAAGGCTGTAAATAAGGAAAGGACTATTGTTTCACTAGACAAGCCAGAATATGCTGACCCCCCTAGCTTTGCCATGTACAAGCCTATTTCAGGATGAAGCTAATTGAGTCGAACTACGGAGGAGCTAAGGCAGGTAGTATCGTGTACTGGCCTGAACGATTCGCCTAGGGTTGTCGGGTACCTTCTACATGACTATGAAAAAGCTATTTGGGCATAGTACCCACAGGTACTTCGTCCAAGCTTCTACATGAAGGGTCTGGAAGCCCATTTTGGGTGGGTCGCCTGCAGGTGGGAAATCTCCCATGAGCTTTCCATAGCAACTCTCTAAGCTATGGGGGGTGTTATGGGAGTCCTTTTGGGAGTACTATGAAAGCTGTAAGCTGCCCACCTGTGAGCTGCCCAGCTGCGCGGCTGTAGATGGCTTCGTTTGGCTAAATGTAGCAATGGATCCCTGTAGTAGGCCCTATATACTCCCAAAAAAAAATCAAAAATAATGCTCATGATAAGGATAAGAATACCAATAATAGTACGTAATAATAAGAATAGTAGTAGCAATAGGAATAATAGCGAGACCAGACACAACTAATCCTAAACCCTAAACCGTAAACCCTGATGGAACTGAGGGCAGGTCTTCAAGCCTTCCACGTTCTCAATCTTGGAGATCACCTCACCACGGTGAAGGATGAGAATTATCATGGTTTTGGGTTTAGGCCCGCGGGCTTTGTACGGCGACTCCCGAAACCCTACTTGGGCGTTCTCGAGACTTAGTAAGTCTACCTACTATACTGATAAGCCTTATAATAGGCCCTATAACTCCAGTTACCAAGTAGCCTTGCTAAGTCAAGAGATCGTCCAAGTAAACCCTCAATACCTACACCCTAAACACCAAATCCCAAGGGTTTTGGGGTCAGATGTGGACCTGAAACAGATCTGCCCTTTCATGCAGGAAGTGTACAGGGACTTGGCTCCGGGCTTTTTTTAACCCCATGGACTTTATTGGCTTAGGGTTTAGGGTTTAGGGTTGCGGCCAGCTTTGGAAAGTGAGGGGCATTCAACAAGCAGTGACATCAAAAGAGTTCCAATGCTGACAAACATATGACCATAACCACAAGGATTGCTCAAAGTATCACCATAAGCACAAGGACCAAGGTATGCTGCTCATGAACAGTCGTGTCCTGACAATCTCCAGAAAAATCACAGCACAATAGACAAGTATCGCGGCCATGGCGTAAAGCAAGGCAGCGATACCAGCGTCATGGCAGCTTTGTCAGGACAACAACTAGAAAAAGGTTTGCATTACACCACAGTATGCTTCTAAAAGGACTACAGTGGGACCAAGATCATCCTTCTTCAGGCCTCTACACGCAGGGACAGTGTACAGGCTGGACATCCAGCACCGCTTCTAAAACTCACTCATATTCCGCACCCTCTACAAAACAAGAACAGATGCGTACAGGGGAATATGTGACAGCTACAGATACATGACCATACATATGATATTCAAGCACGTACGCCTGCACATTCATGCGTGTGAGTTCATGTGGTGCCGTGAAGACCTTAATTTAACTTACTATGATAAGGACCCGATTTACTATATCCAAATTATGGTAACTTGCTTCAAATTCCTGCACAGCAACCCAGGAAAAAAAAAGTTAGGATCTCCAGCCTTGATGTCCTTACCACCGAAGTGCTTTCGGCACTCCTTCACATCATCGCCGCTCCTGAAGCACGAGAGTTCTGAAGAGCTTGCTACCAGTGAGTTTCTCCGAGGCATGTTGGGAAATTCCAAAGGCTTGCTTCGTAGTGGCTCCCTTACAAATCGAAAGAAAAACATGCTTTCTACGCTTCCTGGAACCCAGGCAGGACTTTCCGGCACGTAGCGCGGTTCAAAGAGCTCGACAGCAGTGTGTAATATGGCAATTTCCCAAAATTAGGGTACCTCAATATAGACCCCAATGTACTATAGTCCTTATTATCGGGATCCCAAAAAAGGAACTCCTAATTTTGGGAACCCCCCATATCTTTTCAAGTTGCCAAACTGGCTTTTGTCGACAGAGGAAACCTGGAATGCCCTCGGAGTCCCATGTACCCCCATAGGCAACAAGGGTCCGCCATCAAGGCCCTATGGCCCTTAGACACTGGGATGAGCAGGGCCCAAATATCGAATACGAGCTCCCAACAAGAGTCAGCAGGCTTAGACGCACATACCCATCTTCCCGGACACTGACAGCTGGGGGTTTCCCGAAATCAGAGGTACCATTTTGAGGGTCCCAATCATAAGCAGTGTAATATTTTGGGGTCTATATTGGGGTCCCCTAGTTTGAAAAACTACCATGCAAGCCGTAATCTCAACGTCTCTACATCCTGACACCTCTTTCTGATCTGGGCCAAATGGCTGGACGAAGCTGAGGGCGATGTAGTCCGCGTCGTTTGGCACGGCCCACTCTGCAATGTCCTGCCCACCGTAATCTGGGGCTTTGCGCTGGGCACGGACAAACCCCACTAGGTGGGATGTTACATGCTTTCGCATCCAGACTAGGGCAAATATTTAGCGCATATCGTTTGAGGAGCTCACCCAACAACCCGCACAGTATATGCACAATAACTAGCCCCTTAAGGCAGCATCTGATCTTGCTTATCCCATTGCAGGCTGTGCGTTCAGAACTCAAAGTACCGATCTAGCACGAGCCAGCGAGAATGGAGATCTGCCCACAGGAGATATTGGAAGCTTATGATAAACACTGAAAACTATCCTTTGGGTATTTACAACATTCTTGCGAATCCACCCACAAATATTCTAGCTTTCTACGTTTAATTTTAAACACCACCAAAAAATTATGACCCCGAATTTGTGGAGTCACCCGCTGAAACACACCTCGGAAACCAAAGAATATAACCCCAATATAACCCCCAATATACCCCCAGTAAAACCCCTAATATACCCGTAATGTAGCCTATTATAACTCCAAGAAAAAACTAACCCTAAACCCTTAACCGCGTTTTCAAAAACAAGCATTACCGGCCTTCACCTCTCTCTCGCCAACGACCGGGATGTCCACCTTCACGCCTTAGGACCCTCCCATGGACCAAACATAGGGGGGTAGTGCCCAAAATTAGGGTTTAGGGTTTAGGGTTTAGGGTTTAGGGGCCCATTTTGGTGCCCCTAAATATTAGGTGCCGAAATAGAATCTATAACAAAAGAAGCCCACAAATTTTGAGAACAACCCATGGGACGCCAACAGCGGCTTTCCTGTGACTCAGTACTTAACTCCGAAACATTGCCTCAGCAACACACAGCCTTGACAATAAGACATGCATCTGGAATGGCACTAGCTCCCTCATTCATGGGGTGTACCTTACTTCAAGTAACGGAGGGCTTTGGTTTGGGGACGGGATTGGAGATCATGTTGCAAGCCGCCCATCAACAAAATTCCCAAAGAAAAGCCCTCAAAGGCTTGCTGGGGGCCCCGGTAGCCATATTACGAACAACTAGCGTCATCTATAACAACAATTGTAAGAGACTGTACGCATTACGACCTGGTCAACACATGTCTTTCTGCTCACCTTCAACTTGTTGTCATCGGCAAGGGTGATAACTTGGGTTCTTCCCTACGGAAACCTTTCAACACAGCGAAGACTCAGCTAAAGCTCATTCAACAAATACCTGATCTAGAGCCTGTCCACCAGCACACCCCCTACAACCCCCTGACGTACTTCCATTCAAGTACCTAGCTCAGGACTCCTGATGGACAAGGTCGGCAAGTAACCTGGCACGTTAACGTTCTTCTTCTCGCCCAACTTACAGTTGTTGACAACCTGGGACACGGATTTCAAGAACTCGCCCAGGGGAGTACTAACCCGGTGAGTACGCGAATATGAGCCTCGCAGAAGGCACGTAAAAGGGAATAGGGCTGTAGGAGGTCCATATAGGCCTACGTTAATAAACGCTACCCACATGACGACTACTCTCCTGTAGGCTTCCCTGAGGGTTAGGTACTCCCCACTCAGCGACAGCTCTATATTCCTCATGTTTTAGTTGGACCTAACCCGTAATATTGACCAACCAACAGTTTCTGGGTGGGGGCAGTACCCAAGACATGCGTGTTGAGGTTCTGGGGGCTAGGTTCTGGATACCTCTTCAGGTGTCCTAACTATTGCCTGTTTTGCTCTATATCCATGCGCTGCCCACACCACAAGCGGTGAGGAGGCCACCCCAAATAGTAGTTTCCATTTTCTTTTCCATTATCCCCACTATAACCTTAATATTCCCCCCATTGGGTCCCCTATAATACTATCAGGTGATTTACGGTATCGTTGGGTTTCGCTTTAGGATGGGGAGGGCAGGCCTGCCATCTGCACCTTCGCGTCGGTGCTTTTGGAAGGCGCTGGGGCTCTACATCACCTTACCATATTATACAGGGCACCCAGTAACCTCAGTAGCATTTGGAACTTGCTTCGTCATCTAAGTGCCATCTGATGTCAGTTTGTTGACTCGAGGCTGGTTGGCTCAGAACACACAGGACAATGTCCCCTTCGTGGAGAGCTAGATCAAGATTCAGAACGATGATTGGCAAACTGGGGCTAGATATGCAACACGGTGGACGAGTCATGCTAACTACACTACATGTGCGATGGCTTGGCTACTGGCAAACAACGTACCGTCTGATGAAGGTCAGCAACGCCATGGAGCCACGACCAGTGCAAACATGGTAAGTCACAGGTCACTGTTGTTTCACTGGCACCAACGAAGAAGATGACATCTCATACATCTCGATTTCATGTTTCAAGTTGAAGGCTCTAAAACCGAAGCGGAGCTGCATGCTGCTATCAAGAAATCCCCAACACGACGCGGCAATGGACGACCTATGCTAGGAGCTGATCATAAATAAACCCAAAAATCGTATGTCCCGGCATTTTGGGAACGTTGGCACACAAAAGGTCGATTTGTACGCGTGCAGCCTCGCAGAGGGCCCGCCAAGTCTTTCGTGCCCAGGCCATCTGAATCCGCACGTCCACGTCTTCAACCCACTGCCAATGACAGCTCAGCCCATCATCATGCCGGTACCTGCCTATAACCTCACACAACCCCTTTATCCCTAAAGAAAGCACCCAAACCCTAAACCCTAAACCCTAGACTCTGTACCTTAGACTTTAAACCTTAAACCCTAAACCCTAAACCTTTAAACCCTGAAACCCTAAACCTAAACCCTAAACCCTAAAACCTAAACCCTAAACCCCAAGAAGCCTCGCCTTGCAGATGACCTCCGTGTCCTTGGCTTCAGTGACCTCGAGGATGACGGTACCGTCCTCACAGAAGTGGGGGTCCAGGGCTTAGTGTTTAGGTATTAGGGTTTAGGGTTTAAGGGTTTAGGGTTTAAGGGTTTCGGGTGTAGGGGTTAAGTAGGGCTGAGATACAGAGGTATATGGTAGTTGTTCAAAATACCTGTCCCCAAAATGGCCATAATGTAGGTTCCCTGTGTGGTTAGGATCCCCTTTTTAAGGAAGTGTATTCCCAATGGTCCCTCAACCCTAAACCCAGACATGTATCGTCTGTAAAGAACCCACACCAACTCCCACTCGGCTCTCTCGACAATTCACCCAACCATCGATCCCTACCCGTTTTTCCCCCACATCCCTGGCGCCAAACCCTACTCGGAGGTTCACGGAAATTGGGCCGTAGAGCAATATTTGGCTCTGGATTTACCTCAATTCAAGGAGCACCTCTCTTGCATTCTAAGTCTTCACGCCCGGGTCCTGGTTCTATGCACCCCTATAAAAACACCATATAGAACACAATATATTCCGTGTATAACCCCTATATAGCCCCATATAACACCATATACCCTAAAGCCCTAAAGTATATGAACCTATAAACCCTGTATAACCTTATATAACCCTATATAACTGTAAAAACCCCAAAAAACCGTATATAACCCCTACAGAACCCTCTCTCCCTCTCTCTCTGTCCAGCAACCTAGCGCACATGGATGTGAAAAAAACGGCGCGTGCCATCAACAACTCATCAGGCAGCAGCACTCATGAGCTACGTCACCCGCACACACCAATCTGGAAAAAGGGAAACTTCTCCAGCTACCCCTGCAAATCTCCACCCTACATGCCAACAGGGGCACTGCTCTCGGAGGTACACCAGGTATTCCCTTATGTAACCCTATATAACTCTACATAACCCTAAACTATGCAATCTTATATAACTACATAACCCTACAACCCTATGAGTCCTGGATCAAAATTCGCTGGCCGGGCTTGACGCTCTTGGGCAGCTGCTCGTAGGTGATGGCCACCATGCTCTCATCACCCTGACAAGTTCAGCTTCTAGCCGGGTTCTAAGAGGCAAATGAATTTGGGGCCAGGGGTTAAAAGGCTTAAGCATGCTTAAACCTTAGGGGCACGGCAGAAAGTTTTAAGATCCAGGAGCTAGACAAACGAAAGGAAATCATACTAAAGTCTCTGGCTCTCGGTGGAAGTAAGATTACGACGTCTCGTATCTTGCATGCGTCCTCCCTCCCAGAGCAGAATGTCCCATGATTCAACGCAGGGTTCGGGCAATGCAGGCTAGGTCGCAGTTTCGGGAAACTGCAAACAAGGCAACAAGACCCTCAAACATCCGCACAAGCATTGAGCTTGGGCTTGGCCTAAACGATGGTTCCGAAAATAGGGAAATATGGGGATCTGTATTTTTGTAGGAACCCTACTTTAGGGACCCGCATCAGGATGAGTTTAAGGAAATCCCGATCTGAAGATCAGAGCTGCGAACCACTGAGGTCGACTACATCTCAGTTGATTCTTGTCGGCGGTTCTCCAGGAACACTCGACAATAAACCCTCCATCCTAAATCCTAGATCCTAGACCCTAAACCCTAAACCCTCAACCTCGAGCCCTCAACTTCAAATCTTAGACCTTACGGTTTGGGGTATAGGGTTTAGGGCTTCAACGTGGAAGGCTTGTATTCCAGCAGGTTCAAAACATTGTTCAGGCGATGCGACATTTTATCAGGTTGAATCTGTACTTCCTTCAGGTATATACATGACATGTATCATGTTTTTCCAGCGACAACCCAAAGAAAATGGCTTCACATAGCCTGGACCTGAAGATTCAGCGCAGCTACTAAATTTGCACAAATAAGTTCTAGGAGGTTTTGGGGGGTTTCCATGAAGGGGGTATACCGGGACCCCCGGAAAGGTACCCCTAATCTGTAATCTTCGGAAACTCCCATGTTTGCAAAGATAACGAGGCCGTTCTACCAAGATACTTGGGTTGACAGGGGATTTCAGAGCTTTCCAGATGTTAACCATTATCAAATCCATTGCAAGGATCAGCTCAAGCATCAGCATTGAAATAGGAAACTTGGGAGAGACACATCTTCGTTCGCTTAGCCAATCGGGGTGGTATGAAATACCCAAGACCACATGCACCATGCCTGCACCACAAGACAAGCTGGGACGCGTGGGCACGTGCCAGAATCATGGTCCCTCTTGCAACCCCTAAGCAGGTTCTCGACTCTGAAGATGACTTTCTGGCCTTCAGCTCATAGTCAGTGACAAGCTTGAAGTCCTTGCAAGGCTACAATAGGCCAAACTCATCAGACTAGGGTTTGAGGACAGAATATACCAAATGAAATAAGTCAATCAAGTTGCTGGGCTAGAGCTCAGTGACATATAGTCCCCCTTAAGTAGATAGAATATGGCTTTGGGCATAGTGAAATAAGACTCCCATGTACCCCATACTCTACCTACTTAAGGGGACTATATGTTTCGAGCGCAGAACCTGGGAATGAGAAGCGCTTCGGATGCATTAGGCTTTGAGATGCTTGGGATGCGGGGGATGCGGGGGATGCTGAGCAGTGCAGTCCATAATATGTTCCCTGATAAGGAAGCTGTGTCCGTTGATTCTATGAGGAATATTACGCCCTGTAATCCGCCAGATAATCCCAATTACCATTTCATGTTCCATTTTCTCTTCTCTTTGCTTCTCCATTATTGGGATAATCTTCCCTGTACAGCCCTAAAAAATTGGACCCTGAGCGTTTGATTCGGGGATTTGCAAATCCACAGCGGTAGCCACCAAACTATCGCAAGGCAATGCTGGCTTAGCATCTCTGTCGTGGTTCTTGCTAAGATTCAGGTTCCCATATTGGCTACCCGCGGAAAGCCCAACCTTACTTAACGGAGCATTCCTTAAATCGTGCAAGATCTGCCAGGACAAGATGAATCATCTTTAAAAGATGCACTATGCCGAGATAGACAGACATGAGGCAATCAGGCAATTGAGTTCAATTAAAATCTAAACGTCAAGCTAAAGCTTCAAACAGTAAGCAGTCACTACGATCCTGGTTTGGTTGATGGCATCAAACCCCGAGCCCAAGCCATAAACCTACACCCTTCTTGCATGTGGGGTCGCACCCTACAACCTAAACCTAAAACACCAAACTCTGATGAGGGTGTCGGAGGTTTTCTTCAATGGGGTCCAGGCACGACTTGGCCTCAACGCGCACTTCACTGTGGAGAGTTCCGGTTCGAGGTTTTGGGATGTTGGCTTTGTGTTGGGTACTGCCCCGCCCGTAACAGTTTATATTAGGGGTCCCATTAAGGGCTATATACAACCATATTGTAGTTATTATCCAACTGTTACTGAGTGGGGGCAGTACCCAAGCTTTGTAGATTTGTGGTTTTATGCTTAACCTGTGGGGTCGACACTTCTGCATTCCAGAAAAATGTCCAGAAGCAAGGTCTATGTTGGGTCCTGCCCCCACCCATTAACAGTCTATACTGAGTCTGTAATAGGGGTCTTAGCAAGGGCTGTGTACAACTATATTGTAAATATTATCCAACTGTTAATGAGTGAGGGCAGTGCCCAAGGTCTATGCCCAAAGATAAAGCCGAAAGCACTCATGCACCAGATTCATCCCCTCCCCGCCGAAGCAAAAGATCCCCAACCTACCCGCCGAATCATAAAGTCCCTCGAATATATGATGCTACCATCTGGAGGGTTTTAGGGTTTAGGGATCAGGGTTTGGGTTTTAAGTCTGGGGAGGGGATTACTAACCGTGGAACCTTGCCTTCAGACAAAAAACCTTCACACCCCAAAACCCAAGTCATTTCCCCAATTCCTAAAATAGGAAATGAAGATTGTTTAGGGTTTGCGGATTCAGGGCTTAGGGTTTAGGGTTTAAGGATCTCATCTATACTACTACATACTTCCTACTTTCCCTACTAGAAGGCCGCAACTTGAAAAGACAAGAACCTCACGACCCAAGATTTGTTCAGAGGATGGTCCTGCCCGGCTTTCAACTCCTTCTTGGAGTTGTAGACCTACCCAGAAAGCCCAACATTCCTTAATTAGGGAAGATACCCTAAAGGATAATAGGATCCCTTAAGGTATATTCCCTACTTAAGGGATATGGGGCGTTCTGGGTACACAAGTTTGGGAGTTCGAAGGCCATCTGGAAATAGGAAGTAGGGGTTTGTCAGTTTTGCAGTGCCTGGGGTTCAGGGTTCAATGATAAGAAACAAGTGTTGAATTTGATGTGGCAAGCCATCGTTGTGTAGCCATTGCATCAAGGACGGCGCCACCTCACTCCATGTAAGAAATGCCTTCTGCCTACCCAAAACAACATCTACAAAAAAAAGCTTGAAATTCGCGTGCAAATCTCAAAGCCTCATCGCACCTCAACTCCTATTCCCCGCGCCCAAATCTTATGCTCCAGGATGCAGAATCATAAAGAAAGTTCTTGCCCATGAAAGATCGTAAGAAGTACCGCCTGGAACCAAAAACTGCAAACCCGGCCTCGAACGTGCCTGTGCGAATCTCAGGACCACGGGTGTCCATCAGGATCTGCAGATTTTGCTATTTCCAAATTGGGCTTAGGGCGTTGAGGGTTTAGCGACTTCTCAGAAACATAAAGGCAATGCAAACTTCACCTAGGACAAACAAAATCAAGAAACTTTCCGTGCTGTGGGAGCGAAAGCATAGAGGACACTGCAGGGAGGGTATGAGGTGTTACGCGGGGTTGAGGCAGAATTGGGAAGTACCATGTATTTAAGGGAGAGCACGGCAAGATCAGGTTTTCAGATTGAAGCCTCAGCAGCTAAAGAAAAGAGCTATTAGGGGGTTCCGGCATGTTGGACAAGGCCCAACAGGGCTTCAAGTATCCATTTCCCCCCCAAATCCTGAACCCCCAACCCTTCCCCATATCCTAAATGATTTATCCGTACGTAGCCCTACACAAACCTGCATGAGACATAGGCCCTAGATGACCCTGCATAACTAATCTCTATACACCCCTAGATACCCCTAACCCCAACCCTCAGCATCCCAACCCAAGGCCTACAAAAAGGTTTTTATACGAGCCCTACAAACGCAAAATCCTAAACCTTAAAATCCTAAACCCTACACCCTAAGGCCCCCACTAGGGATAAGTCCCTAAACCCTAAACCCTAAAACCCTAAGCTAAACCCTAAGCCCCTAAACCCCTAAACCCCCTCAATCCCTAAACCCTAAAACCCTCAAAGCCTACGTAGAGCGCCTTCATCCTACCCTCTATTAGGGCCTAAGTATCCACTATTAGGGACCATATATCCCCAATTAAGGGTACAAGGAGGGTCCTGGTACGTAGGGCGCCTTCATCTTGCCCTTGAACTCGGGCGCCAACTCGTAGGCCTTCTCGAGGTTGGCCAGCTTCATGCTCTGCTCCTCTGGGACATTAGGGTTTAGGGTTTAGGGTTTAGGGTTAAGGGCTTAAAATGCTACATGAGCTATAGTCTAAACTCCTTAAGGGTGGTTATATAGGGGATTATATAGGGGTACTATAGGGCTTATTAAGGGGATCCGGGATAGGGCTTAAAAGGCTATTTGGGGGTCTCCCAAAAATGGGGGTTCCATTTTGGGGGTCCCCATAATCAGGATTTGAGTATTTTGGGGTCTATATTGGGGTCCTCTTATTTTGGGAAACCACCATATGATAGAGTTAGAGAGTTTTCAGGTTTAGGACTTAGGGTTTAAGGCTTAGGGTTTAGGCTTTGGGTTCTTGTAGGTTCAGGGGCTTAAGGCTTAGGGTTTAGGATGTGGATTTGCGTAGGGCTCGGGCTTGGATGAAAGCGGTCAAGGGTTTGAGACTATGTAAGGGTATTGATTCTCAGAAATCTGACCTCAATTCTCAACCCTAAACCCTAAACCCTAGAGCTTGGGATGATTGATGCTTGGCTGCAACAAGACATAACAAGACCACTGCAGGAGAAGAGTCAGGAGTTGGGGGTTTCCCTAATTTTTTGGGGTCCCAATAATGAGGACTATAATATTTTGGGGTCTATATTGGGATCCCCTTATTTTGGGAAACTACCAGTTATGCAGGTCAACACTCATAAAGCCCATGAACTATAGAATCTGGGGATTATATTGGGGTTATATAGGGATAATGGAAAAGAAAATGGAAACTACTATTTAGGGTTTAGGGTTTAGGGGCTATAGTCCCGCTTAAGCAGATAGAATATGGCTTTGGGTATATACCCCATATTCTATCTACTTAAGGGGGACTATGATCAAAATTCCACCCCTGCAAAGGGATCAAAGATGGGGCCCGTCGGGTCCTCGTGGTCACCGTGGGACATGTTGCAGCGAATGACGGTCATTCCTGCCTTCATAAGCTCCACCAGAACCTGTGTTGTTCCATGGTGTGGTTTGAACTCGGGCTTTTGCAGTTGACTAAATGAAACAAGAAAGGATTTTGGTTCCTACGTGCTCCAAGAACTAAGGGAGGGACATTCAGAGCGAGCAACAGGAGAAATTAGGACACAAACGTCACAAGTGAACTTACTGGAGTTTATATGTGATCATGGCACATTTTGCCTCCACGAAAGGGTGGACTCTATGCACGGGAGCGACTGACGTCAGATCCTTTCGTATGCATAGCCCCACAAATTACCGGAAACATGTATTTTCCAGTCGTCATAATATCACGGCCATCAGAAACTTTTCAGATTGAGTTCCAGCTGTATGTGAGACGTGCACCTTGTACCCTAAACCCTCAAGCTACACCGTAAACCTGAAATCCCAAACCCCAAACCCTGATTCCCTAAACCCCAAACCCGGCAGCCCAAACCCTAAATCCCTGAACCCTAAATCCCTAAACCCTAAATCCCTAAATCCCTAAACCTAAGCCCTACGCACCTCGGGATCCCAAGACTTGGGGCCAATGGTGCAGATGATGTCAGCATCCTTGTCCTGGTGGCAAGACCACAAGGTTTAAGTTGTAAGCTTAGGGTTCAGGGTTTCGGGTTCAGATACCTTGACCGTTATACCAGTTATACCCTGCTCCTTTGTATTCTGCTCCCTGCTTGGGGTACCGAACTTTGTCTAGTATCTTCATGCGTCTTCTATACACGAAAGCAAATACAATAAAAAAGGAACAGGGGCGGAATACAAGAGTCTCTGTAGGGTCGAGACTCAGGGCACGGGATGCGAGGCCCAGGGTTTAGGGTTCAGGGTCGGAGGACGTGACCAAGCTCAGATTCATTCTGTTCCATTCCAACAAGCAGAATGATGCATCAGGAGCTTGAGGCAGTCTTACTTGCAGCCTGAGAGTAGCAAAACACTCCAATTATAATACGTTCATACGTTGCATTACCATTATTTATAGATTACACGAGCGTTTCGGAGTATAGCTACTTTGGCTTACTATATCGACTGCCAACAAGTGCAAGAAGCCTTGTTGTTGACGTCCGCGATCTTCTCATAAGATGCAGGGTAGTTCATGGCACCCTGCTGGAAAGTCTCCACAGACTGACGACCGACCTGCGCGCATATTCCCAGCAATCTTTTCTAGTGTCCCCTCCCTTCCCAATAACAATCATGCATGGGGCCTTTATACGAAGTGAAAATGTTACTGCGCATTTTTTGGGGGGACTGTGACAGGGTGCTGGCAAACGATCAACCCCAGCATGGGGCGTGGGCAAAATTCATACTCATGTTGCAGTGGTCATTGGATGTTGCCAAGAACGGCGTCTATATGTCCCAATGTTTCAATACAAGCCCATGTCCCTCTAAAGGGCACATAAAAACACACAATTCCATATGTCCTCAAAGGGGGCCCGCTGTACTAAACCCTAAAACCCTGAACCCTAAACATCCCTAAACCCTAAAGCCCTAAACCCCTCCCAATCCTGGCCTGGACCACCCGCGTCTTCCGGCTAGATGCTTTGGCGCCTAATACAGGGGCACCTTTACAGGGATTATATTAGTGTTATATGGGGGTTTCCCAAAATTAGGGGTACCTTATTGGGGGTCCCCATAATAAGGATTATAGTATTTGGGGGTCTATTTTAGGGTCCCCTTATTTTGGGAAACTACCATATAGGAGTTTATATGGGGTTTATGGTTTACTGGTTCGCAATATGAACTTCAAGGTCTATTTGAGGCAACCTATACTATAACTGTACAAGGAGCATGGGAACTAAATATTGATGCTTAAAGACTTCTACATTACATCCGATGCGGAAGCTTTTGAGACCTGAATGGTTTGAGTGTCGGTTTCGCGTTCCTAGGGACAGTTATGTGATGACAACATTAGTGCAAAGGATTGAAGAGGGGGTGAGTTCCTTGGCATTGTATCGGGCTAATCTAATTCCAAGAACCCCCCCACATCTCCATTACCATGTAAGATTGCCCAGGGGGTCTGACCTTCTCAACCCGACCATTTTCTCCAAATAAGTTGGGTGAAAAATACTCATGACCGGCGGCTGGCAAATGTACAAATCCGGATGCACCTGCTGCGGCAGCCCCAAGCACGGCAATGGCACCCACTGCACCAACGCTGGCCACCACACTGGATGCGGCCTGCCGTAGGACCCAAAAGCCTGAACTCTCAATCCCTAAACCCTTGACCCTGAACTCCTATTCCCATTTGCCCAGAAGTTGCCTAAAAATGAAATGCAGAGGCATTGTTCAACACCCTTGTGGCGGAAGCGGAAAGCATGGCATCTTTGGCTTCGGGATGCTAAGGGTTTAGGATGTCAAGCTTTTTTAAAGCCAAGACCTTGGGGTTTGGGATGTACGGGACGTCAAGCTTACGGCATAGGGTTGGGAGTTCAGGACTGAAAGTATCTATCACACGTCCTGTCTGCCACGTATCTTTAACTTGGTGCTTGTATCACACTCGTCTCATAAGCTGGTATTGACATGGCTTCAAACTTAACACAACATATACAGATCACGTCAAGAACTTACCAGAAAGCAACACATGAAACAGCAACAATCGGATCCCAGGTATGAAGCCATAGCAATGACCTCCATAATTAAATCAGGTGCAAAGGACGTAAAGTAAGTTGATCGAAAAAATCCTTGCACTAACCTGGCCATCCATGGCCTGCGATGCGGTGGGAGTGCGGACTGCACCTCGCAGTGCGGCTGATGGCTCTGCAGCACCTGGGCATGCAAGATTTTGAAGGCCCCCCGCTTGCGATAAGTCCTGGACAATGATTAGAAAATCTGATGAACTGTCTTATTGAGACCATTTGAAAACACCGGCATTTACGCTGGGGTGGGGGTAGGTTCTGCCATTCAACCCATATGATAATATCTCAAGGTGATCGCTTGTTAACTATTGACGGAAAAGCCACTGACTTTCAACGGCTTACGGAAGGATTCATGTGATTTTTTGCCGGGTTTGCCTGCACATATGTGCTCCTTTGCTGGCTGCATACATCTTCAAGTTACAATGCAAACACCATGGCTAGGCGGCACTGCCTATACATGTCACTGAGCACCAGACGACCCGCAGACGGGGCAACGAACAGCGGAGCTGTTGCTGCAGCGGCGAGTCCCGCTGCCAGGGCGACTGAGCATTCAGGGGTCAAATTTGGCTTCAAGGTCGGGACATTCTTCCGGGTTGTTGGGGGCATGTGGCGGCAGGATGACCGCAGCCCAGCATGCATCGCATAAATAAACCATGAGAAATGCTCACGAATTTTCACAGCTTGTATGTGAACGTTGGAAATGGAAAGCACTGCCGCATCCGGCGGTTGCGCATAGGATTATTTAGGCATCTCGAAGTCAAATTGAACCCATTTGGAATGTCGTGAATGGTGACTTGGTGGCCACACCTTGAATATGTCATGTCATTTTGGATATTTTGGTTTCGCGACCATCACCTCCTAATTTCGGACCAGCAACCACGGCGGGGCTGCATGGCACCTGCAGACATGGCTGGAGTGATAGGGGCTGGAGCAACCGGGCAAAATTGAGCACCTGAAGACGCTGCAACATCTTTGCTTCAAAGGGCACTCAGCCACCCAAAATTTGTCAGCAAGTGTAAAAGGGCGACTGCACGAACAGATATTAATAACCCAGCACAGCGCTTACCCCCAAGGTCGATCGCTCTTTCTCTTTTCACAACTGCGGTCCCACGAGCTCAACTCCAACCTGTATGCTTGCCAGTGTATCCTCAATACATTGCGTATGGGAATTACTACCCTTAGCCGTCGAGGTAAGGCTTGAGCCGGTTTCAAGGCTGCTTGTCGGAACTAGATGCTGGTGATCACGATTTAGTTTTCGTATCCGAAACTTGGCGATCTGATGTGCATGAAGTTTTCGAAACGCCGAGTGGGGGCAGGCTCTATCTCAGTCGTGGAGCTGCTTGCCATGGTGTTGGGATTTACATTTCACCACAATTTTGCGCAATGATTTCGGACATCTGTTTTCATGCGATTTCAGCTCAGTTGTGCATGATTCAACTTACATGTCATGGCCGCAGATTCCATGTCTATTCTTGTTATTTTCCAACAAGCTGGGACCTCGATGATCGAGTGGATGAACTTTACAGTATCCTGGATTTGATGCTTGTGCAGACACGTGTTTCCGCAGCCATTCCAATACTTGGCGGGGACTTTAACGCATGCATCGGAGCAGCATTGCCACAGGATGATGTTGCACTTTTGGGGTCTTGGGGGCTTGGCGCTCGTAATGACAGGGGATCAAAGCTTGCAAGATGGGTGCTTGAGCACCAATTTCACATCGTTAGCCGTTTTGCAGCTAGATTGCCAGTGCAAGACAGGTCTACTTGCAAACGAGCATTCGACAACAGTTGTGTTCAAATCGATTTTATCACCTGCGATTTGAGATTGACGCCTTCTTCCACGTGGCATGATTTTTCAATAGCAACGGGGATGGATCATCCCTGGTTGAATTAGTTGTGTCAAAGCCTTTGTGCCAGAAGGGTCGGCGCAAAAGACGTCGAGGATGGCAGCCTATTTTGGATTTACCCTCCAGCCTCAACCGCATGAATTTGCCGATGAGTTGGTAACACTTTTTGCGGGTGACCCACCGGCACCCGTTCGCCCTGACATGTTGGACGAAATGCCTTGGTCAATGGGGGAACTTCAGCATGCAATTCACCGATTAAACGGTGGCAGGTCTGCGGCTTGGTCATCGAGTTGTTGAAGCATGCCCCAGGAGACCTGCTCACGGTAGTTTTGCAGTTGTTCAACACCTTTTTGTTCCATGGCGATGTGCCTTCAAGCTGGCGGAAAACAGTTTTCACAATGTTGGCCAAAAAGACAAAAGCCGTCGCAACCACAGACTTCCGGCCAATAGCCAACGTGCGAATGATGTACACAGTTTTTGCCCGCATGATTCTCGGAACTATTGAAGACCTTTCGGCTTCCTCCCAGCCTGAGGAGCAACATGGATTCAGAACAGGGCGCCGCATTGAGGAACGTTTGGTAACGGCAAACATCGTTTTGGATAAGATGCAGGCAGCAAACCTTCCCGTTTGGATTGTCAGCATCGATTTTTCCAAGGCTTTTGATCGGATTGACTGGGCTGCTCTCTGGCCAGCTTTGCGGGGACAGGGGGTATCCGAACATCTGATTTGGCTGTTACAAATTGTGCATCACAATCAAGAAGGCGTCGTGCGTGGAGATTCGAGCGTAATGTTTGTTTGAAACAGTGGCTTGAATTTTTCGATGCCGTGGTTACTCCTGTAGCCTGTTCCGCAGCTCGTCACAGAGCCATCTTTCACGCTGACATTCGCCAGTTAGATGTTGACCTCAGGAGACTGCTACGGCGAATTGTAGGGCCTCCGGCTGACATTTAATGGGACATGCCCTGGCACATCATTTTACACCATTGGAATGCGAAAGCGATGCGACACTGGGAAGGTCTGCGCCGCCCGACCTGGGGACAAGTTTGTTTGCACTCTTACTGGAATTTTGCGTTGCATGCAGCTAATCTACCAAATACCAGGTGGATCAAGCGAGCGCTGGCATGGCAACCACTTGGGAGACCTGCGTTGGGTAGACCCCGCAATATGTGGGCATCTTGTCTCCAGACATTTGCTCGCTGGAAACGATGGGACAGTCGGGAAACAGCAGCTGCAGACAACAGACTTTGGAGCGGTTATGGGCCAAAAAAATGCGTCAATTTGGGCGCCGCCTGCTTATGTGGCCTCAGGGAGCTCCAGGGGCTGCTGTGCTGGGTGAGTTGGGCTGGCGCCCACTGTCAGTTGAAGTTCGACGCTTGCAGCTCAATTTGTTCGGGCAGCTGAGTTCTGCTGGAGGTGACGGTGATTATCGCAGCCTGGCAAGCCGCGTGTTCAACTATGCTTTGCGTTGCCCGGGCTCATGGGCTCATGATGTGGCATGTCAGCTACAATCCGCTGGTGGCCTGCTGCCATCAGCTTGTGGGGTGATGCCTGGGGGTCAGGCCGCTCAACTGCGGTGGAGGCGTTCAGTGGTTCAGCCATTGTTGCGGCACCAGGCGGTCGCACAATATCGGTCAGAAATTGCGGCCGTGCCTTCCTTGCAATCCTTTCTTGAATACCAGCCTCACCTTGCATGTGCTGCGCAAGTGCACAGTGGTCGGCTTGCCCCCGCCATTATCCGGGAATGGACGTTGGCCCGATGCGGTCACCATCCTGTCCCGGACGGGCACAGTGCGCGCCACTCCACCAATCGTGCTCGGCAATTCCCTTGTTTGTGCGGTGGCACACACTGGAGCATGCTGCACGGATTGCACGCCTGACCACTCTCTGAAGAACAACGTCACCTCTGGTTGTTTCACATGCACCATTGTCATGTTGATGTTGTGCTACTCTCAGACAAGGATTTCCTCCGTCTCATTTTTACGCCACAGCACCCACAGAACTCCGCTTCATTGGTAGCTGCCCATGTTCGATTTGTAGCATCGGTGTGTCAGCTGCAGCGATGGTTCCTTGAAGGCAATGTGTTTTGATGCTCGCCATAAGTGCGATGCATGTCTCATTTTGCTACTGACCGCAGACGGTTGTTTCTGGTCCGAGTCTCTTTTTGGAATCAGTCGCGCGATGAGTTTTGCCACTTTGTCATCGGGCAAGGAGCCTGATGGATGTAGTTTTTGTAAGCTAATGCTTGCCTCACCTGTACCCTAAAAGGGACGCCTTCGGGCGATCAGGGCTCGACTCGATTCGACTTAGCTTGAGCCGAATACACATGTTACAAACAATGCAGGGGTTACTACACGTACATGTTCACCAATGGGTTAGGCATATGCATAGGAATTCACACCTCCCACGTCGATGGACAAGTCATTGTGTGAGACGCAAACACGAGCTCCGGGCTTTTGGGCAACACGCACAATACAGTAACTATTACAGATGAGCTGTGAGACATCTCGCCGGGTCTAACCCTGAGCGACCATGGTGAAAACACATATGCAACGCTCACACGGCACCGGGACTAACTCCGGGTGCAAAACTCAGTCTGTCACACCAAAATGGCGATGAGACCCGGGCATACAGCATAGCGGTTTCACGGCCGCCTCATTCTTTCGTAACTCATGTGAGGATGCAGAGGGCTCAAACGATGGATTGTAACAAATGCCAGCTTCGGCCTGGTCTTTGTGCATTTCCAATCCAATCTGAAACAAAGTGGTCCTGGCATTGTTCTTCCACTCCTCCACATTCTCTTGCTTCTTTCGGTAGGTGAGTTGGCCACTGATGGTGTTCACGATGACCCTGGTGCAACGGGTCTTGTACTCCTTGTTGAACTTTTCCCTCCCGCACAAGGAGTGCACGCCCGTGTGTTGGCAAATGTACAATGCCTCAGGGTTAGGTCGATCACACTTTTGCTGGCCCTCAGGGAGCCATTCGATGCAAATGTGATGGACACCATCTTTGACAACCTGACTTGGCATGTTCCTGTACGCCACATAACGGAACTTCTTTGATCCCTGGTGCGTTCGAGTAAAGTAGGCGAAGTCGTGAACTGATCAATCCTCTATGACCCTCACCTTTGTTCGGTCGAACTATTCTCATGCCATCGGAATTAACTGCAATGAAAGGCGTGAAGAACTCATTCGCGTTCATGGTGGTGTACGCCCACAGGTAAAGCTCCCAACGCATTGCATGCGTACGGATCACCTCATAGCAGTGATCAAGATTGTCGCAAAACAGGATGGAAAATTGGGTGACGTCCTACCAGTGGTCATGCTCGCTCAACCTGATATCTCTTCCTTTCATCGCCTTTTGCCCATGCCATATACTCTTCCTTGGTAGGAGCACGAGGAAGCATTGTGTCATCATCAATGAAAGATGGGCTCAAAAATTGTCTCCGCGTAAAGGGCGTTCTTCGCCCATCCATTCTCGTCTTCATTTCTGAGAAAGTGAGCGATAGGAAGTCATCGAGAATGTCTTTCCTCTGGAAAATGACATACCCTGCAATCTCATCAAACACCTTGGAGATCTCCTCAGTCTTGAAACACATTGCTGGTGGCTCAGTGCTCAGTTGATGCGAGACCGTGATGTACTTGGCATCTGCAGACATGGTTGGAGTGATGGGGGCTGGGGTGACTGAGCAAAATTGAGCACCTGAACACGCTACAACATCTTTGCTTCAAAGGGCACTCAGCCACCCAAAATTTGTCAGCAAACATGAACCACATATGCTTGCACAGCCTCAAGGCAAATTGATTTACACATTGCATCTTGTTTTCCAACATAACGCGTTCATACAATGTGAATTCTTTGCCCCCCACACGTGTTTTCCATTTTTTTGCGCCCTCTAGGCCGGCACCCGACTCTGTGCTGGCCCGGGAACAGCACGTGCTCGGCCTACTGCCGTGTGGCCGATGGCCTGCTGCACTGCCGCAGAGAGCACGCGCCACCATCAACTCGCCCAGGCTGCTCGGGCGGGGCCGCGCACGGCCGGTGGGGCTCGGCAGGAGCGCAGC